ACGTATTCGGTTTCTCCATCGGGATCCGTATTCGATTTCCCCATCAGGATCCGTATTGGGTTTCCCCATCAGGATACGTATTCGGTTTCCCCATCGGGATACGTATTCGGTTTCCCCATTGGGATCCGTCTACGGAATCCCCATCGGGATCCGTATTCGGTTTCCCCATTGGGACCCGTATTCGGAATCCCCATCGGGATCCGTATTCGGTTTCCCCATTGGGACCCGTATTCGGTTTTCCCATCGGGATCCGTATTCGGTTTCCCCATCGGGATCCGTCTGACTCAGGACAAAACAAACCTCGAAACAAACTTTGCATGCGGCGAGGGACCGAGGGACAACAATTTACATCGTGATGAACTTTGATTCTAATGTAACGTTTGGTTCTGTTGTCATTGGATGTATTCTGATGCTTTATGCGTGCAACAAATTACATCGTGATGAAGTTTGATTCTAATGTAACGTTAGGTTCTGTTATCATTGGATATATTCTGATGTCAAATTTTACATCGTCAAGACGTTTGATTCTGATGTAACGTTTGAGGCTAATGTATTTTTATGTACTTGGACGTCACACTGAAGTCTGAATACATTAAGGTTACAGCAATACACGTTAAAATTTAATGTATTGAAGATGTCTGTTGATGTTTCCTACATTACAATTTCTATTCGGGAAGATATACAATTGGCGTTGACGGCACCGCCGAAAAATCGTCACTTTTAGCAAAGATTAACAGTTTCTTATGAGAATTTTCCGTGGAGCGAAAGGATAGTACAAAGTCCGCCATGTTTCACGCACAGTCTGACGTTTGCTTATGGATTTTAACATTGGAGTAAAGAGCTACAGAGTCGCCGTCAACGCCAATAATCTGAAGTAACAGTGGTATACCCATAATATACCCACACGGCGAATGAGAACGACTGAAATTTGAGTTTAGTTCACTCATCATCGCCAAAAGTGCAGGAACTCAGCGATGAGTAAATTTGCCTCATGTTTTCCCAGGTTTTTCCAGGATTTTCCAGGGAAAAATTCCCGAATTTGAGAAAAGTAAAGATTGGATTCACTCAGTCTATTGGTACTACTCTGAGACTGAATAAAATTTTCGTCAGTTTCCTCATTTTCCGGAAGATTTTTTAGGTTTTCCACAGGAAACCATGAGACAAATTTTACTCATCGCTGAGTTCCTGCACTTTTGGTGATTATGAGTGAACTAAACTCAAATTTGGGTCGTTCTCATTCGCCGTGCACTGAACTAGCGCCATATTGTTTACAACTATGAGTGTCACTCATTTTTTTCAGACGTGAAAATAACTAAGGGTTTACGTGAAACGCACATTGAATGTGTATTTGGGCAAATCACGTAAACTTCATTAAAAAATGTAGCGGTTTCGAATGGAATTTCCCTTCATATGTAAGTGGTGTCATATAGATTCTACTTGGATGATGTAAAATTGACGGCAAAATAAAAAGAGATACTCTATGTGATTTTTCACGTAACTTTGAGCTGTAAATACGTTAAAATATGTGAAAAATAATAAAATAAGACCCCTGTTGAAGAGTACGGCCCCCCCGAAGCGTCAACCCTGAGCTGGACCACTCTCGCTCTCATCCACCCATGATCATCACACCATCACCGAAACAAGGACTGGAACGAAAGAGAAGACATTAGGTACGATATCACGATCGCTCTTATCAACCGTTGTGGCGTGATAAGGGAAGGTCCATTAATTATGTCACGCAAATTTGGCCCATTTTCAACCCCCCTCCCCCCTTTGTCACATTTTTTATATGGGCCTTAATTGTTTTTTGTAAGGCTCGTCACAGTTTCCAAAAACCCCCCTCCCCCCTAAAAGTGTGACATAATTAATGGACGATCCCTAAGAAGGAAATCTGATCGTGGGATATTCTCGCATGGGAGAGGAAAACATCGCAGGATTGTCGGCTGCTGAAGGCCTTCGGATGAACTGCCTGGATGTAGGTCGTATCAGTATCGCCTAGGTCACGGTGAAGAACGGGTGCTCGACCCGCACGTAGGAAACCGAATTTTAATGTGTTTAGTATAAGTTCATTTACGTTAAGAATAAACCCATGTTGTGTCCGTAGTATTAAATGTCGTTGTTTGCGTGTAATAAAGTGTAGACTTTTTTTATAAGTGCCCTTTGCTTCGCATTTTAAAGAGTGGCCGTTCGGTGAAGAAATTCGATGGCATTGAAGTTCTGCTACCACGATTGAATGTGGACAATTGCTGCATGCTGCATACCTACTTCCCCTTGTTCGTCGGAAGTCACCTCTACTACTCGATGTTGGTTTGGCTGCCTCGCTCAACGCCGCTATTGAAGGATAATTTGGACCGGTAAGCAGGCAGGAACCAGACATTTTGGTCCTTCGAACCGGATGGTGGACCATCTGCGTGTTCTGGAATACTCCTTCGGCACTGGGTCGACGCTGGTTTCGGCCATCGCTTTCGAACGCCATTGCATCACCACGAACTACACCATCAGAGGTCACCGCACTCTGCAACAATTGCATGGGAGCCATCGCACTTTGCACAAAGCCTGACCGCTTGGGATTTAGCGTCGCATGGACTGGAGTGCCATCGCGGTTTCTTAGGCTCGATTTGGCTTGGGACAGCCATTTGGAATTTGAATTACTGGAAACGAGTTTTGCATGCAACGAAATTGATAGGCCACTGCATGATAGCCAAAGCACGGACGGTCTGTGCTGACGAATACCTGGAATTGGAAATTGTTTTTTTGGATCGCTGGACTGGCGCAACGTCTTCTTGCTCAGGTAAGCTAAGATAGTGCAGTATATATGTCCAGTCGAATCGGACCCTACTACATACTAACACAATTTTCGACGTGTTTTCTGGACCTGCGATCATCAACCGACGGCAAGGAAAGCCGTCCTCCGAACCACACATCGGAGCCTACGAAGTACTGGTTCTTCGTCTGCCGATTACCTGGAACGACAAGTTTCACCAGTAGTCACTGTCAGTGGGGTTGCATCCATTCATCAAGCCATCACGATAGGACTCGTATGGCAACTCAACAGTGTCGGCATTTAGGAATGAACAGGTGGTATCATCTTAAGTTTTCTCGGGTGAGTGAACTTTTTTAGTGTACTACCGAAGCTAGAAATAGATAAATACACAATTTTGAATGGAACCTATCCTCTTCGCTTTTCCATCCACTTGCTGAGCCCTGAAAGATCGTTGAACGATCTATTTGCGAATCATTTACGTTTAGGTTTTGGATATTCGGATTTAACCGGGATTGTACTGCTGTTGGTTATACGAGTAAGTTGCCTCAAACGGAGATGAAAAACTTCCCAAAATTTAGTACTTTTTCCTCAATTCCGGGGTTCAGCCCAATAACCCAAATTTGAGTAAATCGCATATAGTAGTTTCCATTTAACATCAGCAAAAAAATTACCTACTCTTAAGTACACACAAAAAACAAAAATTGTATCTTTAAAAATTTTAACATTTCATATTACAAGTTTCTCGAATTTGGTAGTTTCAACTATGAATATTTTCAAAATGAATTGTTTTTCTTTTGTTTGAAAGTTTTTCTTTCATTATCGACATGTAAATTTAAAAGTTCATACTTTTAAAATAAAAATTGTACAACTGTCAAAATCACCTCTTGAAAAGCTCATTGTCATGGTCCAAAAATCCAATAGGGCATATAGTATGAGACACTAGAATCAAACCGCAGAAAATCAATCGTGCATCGTGCAGTTCCGGGAACCGATTCCGGTAGCGGAGGCAATGAGAAAGAGTAAAGTTTTCGCAGAAGGTAAGTTTGCAACTACTGTCTAGATATTTCGAGGGTGGTTTTGAAAACAAGATGATTATTTTCCAGATCGCCAGCATATTGGGACGTTAGAGCACACTGCAAAGATGCTTTCGGTGGCTATCAATAGCGTTTACAATGTATCGCTGGAGGGATTACAGATTCCGTTCTTTTCTATAGGACACTGGTAAGATTTGTCGCACCAGGTTTTCCTGCTTATCACCGGCCAGCTGTGAAAAAAAAGATGCACTTTCATTCGAGCAAGTCCGCTGCATGTTGGAGCCCCGCGTCTGGGAGAAAACCTTCACTAAAGCCATTCGCCAAAGACAACATCCCTGATATCAACATCCTGATGTGAATGAAAAATAGAAATATGAATATTTACAAAATACTAAATAAATAAATGTAAATATTGGTTATTTCCCTTTTACATAAAATCAATTAAATTAAAAATAATTCGTATTTGAGGTGAAAACTTATATTAATTGCGGTGAAATAGCCTTCTTTTGAAGCAACACTTTTCCAACATCAATTTAAAAGTATTTGGTTTTTAGTTTGACAGTTCTACAATTTGATTTGAAAGTTTAAACTTTTAAAATTAATAATATGCTAAACTTTTGTTTTGACAGTTGGTTGACTTTCATTTTAAAAGTTAGCTACTTTCTACCAAAAACAACCAATGCAAACTTTTAATTCTATCAACGGTTCTTTTAATTTTATCAATGATTATTTTTTGTGTGATATATTCTACCCAAAATTAAGTTTAATTCACGTAAATTTGAGAATATTCAATTTACTCAGAAGTAACTTATTGCGCTGAACTATATCGTTGGGTCGAATCTCTCGTTCCTTTTTTGACAACAATAACGAGTGCAAGTGAGAGGTTGAACTCAATATTAAGTAAAAAGAACTCCAATTTTGGGGTCAGTATTTTTTCTCCGTGCAGTATATGCCCGGCCGAAGTCAACTTATTCGGTTACTACACCATATTCTCTCTCCTTGCTTGCATCTCTGCTTCGCCGCCTGAGTTATTGCTGCATTTCGGCGAATTGTGTGACGTCATACGACTTGTTTGAACTGGAGCACCACTATTCGTTCTCTCGGGTAAATTAATGCAGTATATGCCTAGCGAAGCTAGGTCAACTTGCAGCATACTACACAACGCTTCACTTTTTGGTTCCCGATTATCGTGACATATTACCATGCTACCTACCGCTACCAAGAAGCCACCGTCGATGAGGGCATTGACGGCTCGTTTGAAGGAAATCAATCTGTCCTTCAACGATATTTTGCGGTTTTTCCAAGCGTTTAGAGCAACCAACACCGCTACTGAGGTTGAGGTACGCCTGGGTAAGTTGGATCAGCTTTGGGAAAGTTACAGTGAGGTCTTAGTGGAAATCTTCGCCCACGATGACTACAATCCGGAAAGTGCCACGGTAGATAAGGAGCGTACGGAGTTTAGCGATCGCTACTATGAAACGAAGTCGTTTTTAATGGACAAAGCCAAGGATTTCCAGAAAGCACATGCATTGGAACAGTCCATGAGAACAAGTGATGCTTCGGTGCACGGATCCGTTGATCACGTTCGTCTGCCACAGATCAAACTGCAAACTTTCAACGGTGACATCGATGAACGGCTTAGCTTCCGTGATTTATACACGTCACTCATCCATTGGAAGGTGGATCTACCAGATGTGGAAAAGTTCCACTACCTTGAAGGGTGTCTGCAAGGGGAACCAAGGAACCTGATCGATTCTCTACCGATCACGAAGGCCAACTACCAGGTGGCCTTGGAATCATTATTGCGCCGGTACAATAACAGCAAGCACTTGAAAAAGCGGCAGGTACAGTCGTTGTTTAAGCTGACGCTCTCCAAAGAATCTGGAACTGAACTGCACACTCTCGTGGAAGGCTTTGAGAGGATAGTGCAGACTCTCGATCAGATTATCCAGCCAGCCGATTATAAGGATCTTCTGCTGCTGAATATCCTCACTGCTCAAACCTTTTTCTCCTGAAGATCCATCGAAATCTCATTCCACCCAAGTAGCTAGCATGACAGCTACGAATGCATTGGTGTCTGGTACAGTCCACCAGCATGCATCACTGGTACCTACTGTTGGCAACGACTGTCGTTATAATTGAGCATGACAATAGCTGTCGCCATCACGCTCGCGCTCTTCTGGACTCAGGGTCGGAGAGCAATTTTATCACTGAGCGATTGAGTCAGTTGATGAAGGTAACTCGCGACCGAGTGGATATATCGGTGCTCGGGATCGGACAAGTGACCATCAAGGTCAAACAAAGGGTACATGCATTGGTGCGCTCACTAGCGTCTCAGTTCTCACGTGAACTAGACTTTCTGGTTCTCCCAAAGGTGACGGTGAACCTGCCAACAATCAGAGTGGATACGAATGGATGGTCGCTTCCAAGCGGAATTAAACAGGCTGATCCCGCATTTTTCGAACCGAACGCAGTGGATCTCTTTCTCAGTATCGAACACTTTTTCGATTTCTTCGAAACTGGTCGAAGAATGTCCCTGGGAGAAGGTAATCCAGCTCTCCATGAGTCCGTATGTGGATGGATAGTAAGCGGTGGTGTCTCTGTTCCATCTCGCTCTCTCCAAATCACATGCAATGTATCGACGCTGGATGACTTGAAGTGGCATTGATCTCTCGTTTCTGGTCCTGTGAGGAGGTTGAGTCAAGCAAGGCTCACTCGCCGGAGGAAACAAGGTGTGAAGACATCTTTGTTAGCACAGTACAACGAGGTTCGGACGGTCGGTACACTGTCTCACTACCGATGAATGACGACGCCGTCTCACGGTTGGGCGAGTCAAGGGACATCGCATACCGGCGTCTCCAAGGAACGGAACGCAGACTGGCTAAGGATTCATCGCTTCGGGAACAATACAATGCGTTTAGGACTACATCAAGCTCGGTCACATACGTGAGTCAACCACCTCAACGGATACGGAGTTGGATAAACGGTGCTTCCTCCCACACCATCCAGTCATCAAGGAGGCAAGTACCACTACCAAGGTGAGGGTGGTTTTCGACGCGTCGTGCAAGACATCCAACGGAGTGTAGATGTAGAGGCACAATATCCACTCGCAGCGAGAGCGGTTCTCGATGACACCTACATGGACGATGTCATTACAGGGGCGGACGACGAAGAAACAGCAACCACATTGCGGGTACAGCTGAGCACAATGATGTCGAGTGGTGGATTCAAGCTGCGAAAATGGGCTACGAATTGCCCAGCGGTGCTGGAAGGAATTCCGAAGGAAAACCTGGCGATTCGGTCGTCAGAAGGGATTGTTTTGGATCCAGATCCTTCAATCAAAACACTGGGGCTAACTTGGATGCCAGTCTCCGATACTCTCAAGTACCAGTTTTCAGTTCCTAGTCTGAACCCTGATACACCGCTCATTAAACGATACGTGCTGTCAGTAATTGCCACACTGTTTGACCCTCTGGGGCTCTTGGGAGCTGCCATAACATCGGCCAAGATATTTATGCAACAGTTATGGGCATTACGTGACGGACAAGGTTAAAGGCTTGATTGGGACCAGTCGCTACCATCGACGGTTTGTGAGCCCTGGAGAAAATTCCACGAACAGCTACCACTGTTCAATGAAATACGCATTGACCGTTGTGTCATCACTTCGAATGCTGTCTCGACGGAGATCCACTGTTTCTCGGATGCCTCGGAGAAGGCGTATGGAGCATGTCTGTACATGAGGAGCCAGAATGTCAACGGAGAAGTGAAAATTCGTCTTCTTACCTCCAAATCAAGGGTAGCGCCGTTGAAATGTCAAACAATTCCCCGACTGGAATTGTGCGGGGCGCTCCTTGCGTCAGAGCTCTTTGAAAAGGTTGCGATTCGGTTCAAGGGAAAGTCGTTTTTCTGGACAGATTCCACCTGCGTTCTGCGTTGGATAGAAGCTCCTCCAATGACTTGGACCACCTTCGTTGCAAACAGAGTTTCAAAAATACAGTCCATTACCCAGGAATCTCAATGGCGACACGTTCCAGGAATTCAAAATCCCGCAGATCTTATCTCCAGAGGGATTTCACCGGAAGATATCGTGAACAATTCGTTCTGGTGGCAAGGACCGACCTGGCTAGAGGAAGAAGAATGTCAATGGCCAAGCCTGCCACATAATTCACCAACTGGAGAAGGAGATGATGAAAAACGGCGGACTATAGTTGCTGCACCAACTTCTGTATTCGCCGAATTCAACCAAACGTACTTCAGCAAGTTCTCGTCCTACACAGATCTTGCTCGTTGTACAGCATATTGGTTGCGTTATATGAAGTTTCTACGAACACCGCGAATGGAGAGGAATTGCCCAGCGTACCTGTCGTCGGCAGAGTTGAAAGAGGCGGAAAACACCCTGGTCCGCTTGGTACAGAAGGAAGACAGAATGGAAGGCGTTGTCCAAAGGGGAGGCAGTTGCGAGAGGATCGACGTTGCGGTGGTTCAATCCATTCATATCGACAGATCAACTAATTCGGCTTGGCGGCCGTTTAAAGCATTCCATGGAAAAGGAAGAAACCAAGCATCCGGTTGTACTGCCAGCACGGCATGTATTCATTCACATGCTGCTACGACACTATCACGAGCGACTGCTACACGCTGGACCACAACTGCTGTTGAGTGTTGCAAGACTTCGCTTCTGGCCGTTAGGAGGAAGGAGTATGGTGAGGAACATAATCCACAGATGTCAGACGTGCTTCCGCTCGAAACCATCGTCAGTCCAACAACAGATGGGAGATCTACCATCGTCACGAGTCACGGTATCTCGACCTTTTTCACAGACGGGTGTGGACTACTTTGGTCCAATCTACGTAAGGCTCGCTCCAAGGCGTCCGGCAGTCAAAGCCTATGTAGCGATTTTCATTTGTATGTGTACCAAGGCCGTGCACATGGAACTTGTCTCGGATTTGTCAACCGACAGATTTCTTCAGGCACTCAGACGGTTTATCGCCAGGCGAGGGCGGTGTACCGATATTTTCTCCGACAATGGCACCAACTTTGTCGGTGCACGGAATAAGTTGCAGGACTTCCTCAAGTTGCTCAAGAACAATGAACACCGTGAAGTTGTCACCAGGGAATTAGCCAAGAAAGGAATACAGTGGCCCTTAAACCCTCTGAAACTTATTTTTGCCGAGATTTGCACAGCCTAACTCAGCAGAAAAAAAACTAAGTGTGTATGAGAATCTTCTCCGAACAAACTGTACCTTTAAGGTTCAATTTACTTTGATACTTTTTGGAAAATTTCAAAAGCAGTTTTTTCCGACGCATTATTTCAGATTGTAAAAAAGGTTGCACTATTCGATTCCTTTTGATATTTTACACAAAATGACGCAAGCTTGTTGCAATCTAAGATAATGCGTCGAAAAAAATCTGCTTTTGAATTTTTAAAAAATGGATCAATGTAAATTGAACCTTAAAATCAACGGTTGTGATCTGCTGTGATGCTATTCAAAAAGCGCACGAAAACGGCAAAAAAAAATACTGTGCTGCCTTGCGATTAGTAATCAAAGTGTTAGTCGATTACACTCCAATCGATTTACCGCACTACCCGATTATTTTTCGACATTCCTAAATGATGGTCAGCTAAAAGAGTTGATTGTTCATTCAACCCCCATTTTCCCTACATTGAGACAAGCTAAAACCGCCGAATATACATACCGGTTGGGACATACGGTTTCTAGAGTGGTGTGCTACTGGTATTCATACGCGGCTCTCAGTCTGCATCAATACCTACTCGGTGGTTGTTCGATAAGGTTGATCCAAAGTGGAATCGCTGGCAATTGAGTAAGTCAAGATAAGTCCTATCATATTTATAGCGAATTCGTTTATTATTCGGTTCCAATCTGGATCGGGTATCAAGATTGGGTCTGCTTGATTTTTGACAAACGTCAGTTTGCTCGTTTGATTGTAAAACCCCGCTCAGGTTGAGGTTGGCATCGACAAAAAGTTCAGTTTCCTACTTCAAGAGCATGCTGAACTTTTCAGTTGGAATCTGTCTTATATGTCTCACTGTCGGGGTTATATTTAATAGGAGCTGTCCTGCCCAATATGGTGATCCAAGAGACGTTTCTCAGTGGAACTGACAGCTAGAAATCTAGAGTGAGTGATCTGGTGTTAGTGGTGCTGAATGTAGACATAAACAAAGCTGAAAATCATATGAGAATAAACTGCCAGTTCTACTGTGATCTGTCAAAACTTCTTGGTAAACAAAAAAGTCAGCTGATCGCAATTGTCGCGTGGACAGCCTTATAGACGCAAGTGATTTTCGAGTGATACAATTTATCGTGTGAAAGACGAAAATTCTCATTTAACGCCGCTTGCTTTGCTACCACTAAACAACAGTAAGTACTGATGGAATGTTACTATTTTCGGAATGTTACAATGTTGCTCATTTTTTTTCCTTTTGATTTTAGGAACAAATATCGAAATGTTTTATTTCTAATTGATTTCGCGATCTCACAATTTTTCGATTTCAGTATTGACCAATGAGATCATTAAACTCAGATAGCCTTATCAGTTATGCCACTACGGTATAACCAAGCCGCAGGCGGTGGGTGGGCTATTTTCTGACCAACCAAGCATATTTTATTGTTCTGATAAGAAGCAACCTTCAACCCAGCTACGTATACAACAAATCAGGTCCGTTGGTTAATAGCCGAATAATGGCGGTGGTAAAATGAAACCCTCCGTTGTCTTCGAGGGATTGCTATCCTAAACGAAACAAAACAAAATACTTTGCATATGCTTTGGGTTGATACATATATTATGTCACGCTCTAAGGGGGGAGGGGGTCTAAGATTTTGTGGCAAGCAATGCATTAGGTATAGGAAAAACGTAGGGGGGAGAGAGGGTAAATTTTTTCTCGATTTAGCGGGACATAATTAATGCATGGGCCCTTTGCCATAATCTGTATGCGACGCACGTAGCTCAACTCTCTACTGTCCAAGCTACCATGATAAGAGCCTACACGGTAAAAAAAAAGTACCCAGCGGCTAGTTCACTTTTACCTACCTTACTTTTGTTTGTCTCTTTTTCTCCTTTTAATGTTGTCAAAATCACCCAACAGGGCTAGTAAAGTGTGGGAACCCAACGTTGAGTATAATCATATATACCTTCTATTGGGTACAACTTACTTACTTTTGGGTAGAGTTCGGGTGAAAAATTCCATACGAATTGCACACAAGCAAATGAAAACTACATTGACCCGCTTTACCTACTTAAGTGCCGACATGAGTGAACAGAACTTACTTTTGGGTACTTTTTTCATACCGTGTGGCTTCACGAGAAGTTTACAATAGGGGACGATTTTTTTTTTCATGGCATGGCGCGCTCTGTATTGAATAAATGGTGCCAAAAATCTAAACGAATCACTGTATACCTCAGATTTTAAAGAAATCTTGATACAATCTTCTTTTAATTTAATTTTTAAATAGGGTAGAGAACTACTTCGGCCTAATCGCCCATTTTGGGCCTATCGAGAAGAAAACTTCAAATAAATCCATGATTTCAGAGTTAACAAGTCAATTATGCATTTGGTACGATACTTTAGTTAATAAGCTACCGAACGAAGTCAATGAGAACGCGTGATATGAATGTTTGCACCCATTATTCCCAAAAACAAAAGAAGCGCTCCGACCGAATCATGTTTTATCTTCATTCGATAGGCCGAAGTGAAGTCATTGGCGTTACAATGGTGTTTCAATGCGTTAGGCCGAGTTTAGAATCCGTAGGCCGAGTTTGGCGTCAAGAAGCAGTGTTAGACTTTTAACAATATCTCAACAATTTATTTCTCTTTATCAAATCTTACGGTACGTACGGAAAGGTAAATAAATTTGGAAGCCATCATTAATAAAAACATTCCGTTTGGTGCTAAACTACGCAAGATTAGGCTAGGCTAAGTGCGGGTTGTGCTTAATAGGCCGGAAATGGGGTAGTTAACCCTATTTTTAGAAAATCTTTTTTTTCGACCGTGAGATTAACGAGAAGTTTACCCCCGCCACCGACAATGATTACTTTGTTGTGTTTCTTTTATTGCCTTTTTAATTTTCTTCCCATGCCTTACACGGTCGTGCAGATCGACTCAAAATAGAGCCGTATCGATTAGTAATCCTCGTACAGAATTTCGCGGAAATATTATCAGACGATTTGGCACCGTGATTTGTTTTGTTTACAAAAGCTGCTAACAATTGGCGTGGAGTAAAATGTTCCAGCTTTGTGCGTGACTACATCGTTGTCTACGCTACGAGTTTGTTTGTTTACGTTGTTTGAATTCTCAGTGAACTGGTGAACTATTTTTACCAAGTTATGCCCTAACCGTGGTCGTGGAAGGACAACGAAGTGTAACAATGTGAGTTATTTTTCCGGTTTACGAAAAATTTAATCCATTTTCCAGTACCACATCAAGCATACGCAATGGTGTTTTGCTAAATAATTAATATTTATTGCTGGAAACAAACAGAACTATTGCACACTTCACTCCAAACTTCACAAATAAGCAAGGATGATAAATGTGTGAGATTTCTTATAATTGTCTTGATGTATTCGGTGCTTCCGCGAACCTGTTTATATAGGATTACGAGGATCGCCTCAATTCCAGCAAAAGTGGATTTACTCAAAAGTGAGGTAAATTTTCCGGGCCCTTCCAGGAAAAACTTCTCGTATATGAGGGAAATCGATAGTGGTTTCACTCAGTCTATTAGTATACTGCTAGGCTAAGTAAAACATTCATGAATTTGTTTGCATATTCGAGAAGTTTTTTTCAGGTTCTCTACGGCTTTTGGCTGAAAAAATTAACTCACTTTTAAGTAAATCCACTTTTACTAAATTGAGTCAACCCAGCTCATTTTTTAATCTGTTTGAACGAGCGTGTACCTTCCGCACATATCGTCAGACATACAATGTTGCAAGTTTGTTTACAGTTTAGAACAACTGCTTCATGAGAATTTAAATAACTCGTATATTTATCACCAGTTGGAGCTTGCCTACGAAAATTCATCCCGTCATCGGTGATTTGTCGTATATTCTCTTACACCCGCTGATTTGCGTGAGAGCGTCCCGATTCGTGCTAAATCGACAGTTGAAATTTTGATCACAAATGCTGGTCGGGGCTGTATTTCAAGAGCACCGTGAGTGAGATATGGTTCGCACGGAGTAAACATTCTGAGTAATACCCCGTTCATATTACAGCGTATATCACGTAATATACGCTGTCTTGCAATGAGCACTCATACATCTAGTTTTCACTGGAAATCCTATGTATAAGTACACATTGCAAGACAGCCTATATTACGTGATATAGGCTGTAATGTGAACGGGGTATAAGTCATCTGCCTGACCAGTTGGAAAAAATCAAGTTACTGTCCACTATTCAGCAGCAGTTCTTAACCTTCCTAACGCATTAGGAAAAAAAAATTACACACGCAACCAAAAAATTATTACAATGAATGTTAGTTCCATTTCCTATTATCCTCTGTTCATGAACATCGCAGCGAATGTTAGAAGTTGACCTTGCAGGCGATGTAATGGTTTTTTGTCTCTTTTATTTCGTGTTCTATATACGCTTTCGACTATACCAGTAAGCTTTTTGTTTATAACAGTGTAGAATAACGCACACACTTGACCCGAGTCTCTCCAGCAGAAAAAGCATACGAAGTCGAGTATGAGAGGAAATGAGCGCTTCTTGTTTGCTTTCAGGCTACCCATATTCATAAGCGTGGTTTGAGTCCAGTCGGCAATCTGATTCCTATTTTTTTCGACATAACTAATTTCACTCACTAATACACTCTACATTTTTCGGTCTCCAATTTTCTTGCATCGGACCGCAGCTGGGTATATCGCATCCTTGGTTCATGCGGTCTCCCCTAACATCCTCTGATGATGGATTCATCATAATTACATAAATGTAAGCGAATCTTACATCCCCCGGTTGGGTGCACAGTGCACATATGAGTCAAATACCAAAAAGTTGTCCAAAAGTTCAAATTCGGGAATCCGTCAATCTCTTGATTCGCATCCCCTGCATACAAATTTTCACACCGATCGGTTCAGGCTGTGAACCATTTGCTGAGTTATATTTTACTCATGGTTAAAAGTGACATTTCGAAAGTTATTTTCTATGGTCGAAAATCCCCGTGCTGTCGACCGGTTTTCGAGCCACAGTTGTCAAAATTTAACTTCTTGGCTGTCAGAAATAACCATGCTCAGATAGCAGGGTTAATCGATAACTTGCCATCTGCCATATTTTAACCAAAAGTTAAAAAAAAAATCACCAAATGGTTCAGAGCCTCAGTAGTTCCCGAGTCAATAAGGGTCAGACAGACAGACAGAAATTCATTTTTATATAAAGACTGGAATGCGCAAAAATTGGTCGACAAAAAAATTGTTTCTTTCAGTCAAAATTCATATCACAAAAGTCTTCTTATTTTTCTTTTGATAGTTCAATTCATATATTTAAAGGAAAAAATGTTCGTTTATTCTTTTGGTTTGCGAAATCTGCATTGCCATGCCTTCCGCTTAACCCCTTCCATTAAATTTTGCACAGTGGTCTCATCGACCTTATTCACCGCTAAACGCCAGTTAGATTTAAACTGCTGCTCGTTTTTCATGGATTTATTAGTTTTTTGAGATTCCGTTTGACCAAGACCCAATACCGTTCGATAGGGTGGAGTTCTGGGCTTTTTTTTTGGGGTTGTGGTCTTTGGATACCACAACCACGTTGTTCGCTTCGTACCACTCGATTGCCTTTTTCCCATAGTGACAGCTCGCCAAGTCCGGCCAGAACACCACAGGTCTATGTTGCTTTAGGAATGGTAGCAGCCACTTTTTCAGGCACTCCGGGACGTAAGTCTCTTGATTGATGGTTCCCGTAGTAATGAAAATGCCGCTTTTTAGACCACACGTGCGTATGGCCTGCCAGACGAGATATTTTTTCGAGAACTTCGATAGTGTGATGGTTTTGAAAATTTCAGCCACCTTCCCTTTTCCTGATGCGGTATAAAACTCCTGTCCCGAAAGCTGGTTGAAATCCACCTTCATATAAGTTTCGTCGTCCATGACGACACAGTCGAACTTTGTGAGCAGATTCGTATACAGCTTTCGGGACCGCTGCTTTGCCGACGTGTTTTGTTTGTAATCTCGGTTCGCCACCTTAACCTTCTTAAACGTCGACAACCCGGCTCGTTGCTTGGCCCACTGCACAGTAGTATGGGAGACATTGTGCTTGTTAGCGACGTCCCGGATGGAGAGGTTAGGATTCCGCTTATATTTCACCGCCACCTTCTTCATCGTCGCTGCCACATCCGATTGCCGCCACTTCTAAGCTTCCTGGCGGTCGACAGACGCTCCCAAAACACTGTTAAAACGTTTGTCACGGTCGATTTAACCACATACAGCAATTTTGCCAACTTGGCGTGTGAGAACGTTGGATTCTCTTGCTGCACGAGCAAAATTTTGACACGCTGCTCCTCTTGCTTGGACGTCATTTTGAAAACTGGAGAGCAAACGGTGAAAACTCATCGTAGCAACCATTGTATATACACTCAACTTCCAAATGCAGCATTTCAGGTTTTTTAATGCATTTTTAACAGAAATACACCAATTTGAAGTTGACCCATTTTTTGCGCTTTTAAGATTTTATATAGATATATAAACACGGCGAATGAGAACGACCCAAATTTGAGTTTAGTTCACTCATAATCGCCAAAAGTGCAGGAAGTCAGCGATGAGTTAATTTGCCTCATGTTTTCCCAGGTTTTTCCAGGATTTTCCAGGGGAAAAATCCTGAATTTGAGAAAAGTAAAGATTGGATTCACTCAGTCTATTGGTACTACTCCGAGACTGAATAAAATTTTCTTCAATTTTCTCATTTTCCGACAGATTTTTTAGGTTTTCCACAGGAAACCATGGGACAAATTTTACTCATCGCTGAGTTCCTGCACTTTTGGCGATTATGAGTGAACTAAACTCAAATTTGGGTCGTTCTCATTCGCCGTGAATGAATTTCTGTCTGTCTGACCCTTATCCAGTATTTTACGATCGCTAATGGCCGCCACAATCTGGCTTAGTTTCTGGTAGGGAACATAAGATTTGAAGTTTGTGTTGTGTCGTTTGACGTGTAAACGATCAAGTTTGAACGTTTGTAAGTCAAACAACACAATCCAAACGTCAAATCATATGTTCCCTACCAAAAACTCAGCCAGATTGTGGTGGCCATCAGTACTCGTAAAATGCTGGATAGACTCGGAAACTACTGAACCGATCGGCGTGAAAATTCGTATGCAGGGGTTTTTGGGGTCGAGAAAGTTTCTTATAATGGTTCGAGACGCCTTATTACAGCGTGCGCCGATTGAAAATATGCAAAATACAATTCTTTACATTTTTCCCAGAGCAAGTCATTTGTGTGGTTTCAACGGCATACAATTTGATGCCAAAATCCCCACTGTTCATCGCCTTATGTAGCACATTTATCATTTATATTGATTATTTATAACAGCATGGCGTCATCAGCACCGCGATTATTTCGAATTTGCGATGTTTCCAGAAAAAAATCAACCGTCATCTGTGCACCCACCATCGCAAACGTATTGCGCAAAGGTTATTTTGGTTACTGAATAACATTAAACGATATTGATAATAAACGAAACCATATATTTTTATAGGGGAATCGAATTTCGAAAGGAATTTTACATGCATTGTTTTGGAGGATGATGGATACAGGATTCCTGACGATGACACTCTAGAGGCTCTTCGCTCATCTAAAGACTATTTGTTTATGTTGTTGGACGACAACGAGAGCTGGTCAAACAGAAGCGATGGCAGTCCCCCCAGTCCCCCGAACTTCACTGGATTAGCCGATTACAATCAGGTACTTATGTCGTAATAAAGCAGTTCCACTCCACATGACGAATCGGAAAAACTCTACCTTCTCCGATTTGCATGAAACTTTGCATAGTTCAGAGTTGGTTGGAAATGCTAACATGAAGCTTTAGTGTGATAATTTATTAGCTAGAGAATGATCTTTAGAAGAGGGTAGGTGGATAGTTTCGTTAGAGTACGGCAGTATGCAAATTGGGTTCTTTAATTTTGAAAAATGTATAGTTTTTTATACATCATCTGCAAGAGCTTCGTTGTCGGAGCACAGTGATATTTTTTTTCGAAACCACACACTTTTATCTCGATTTTTAAATCAAGATTTAAAGCAAAATAATAACATCACTGTTTGACACTAAACTAACAAACTGACAGCTCGCTCCCATACAAAGTGACACCGAGGGGCGCTAATAAGGTGATTTTTTGCAAATGGAATCGTACTTATTTAAAATAGTTCCAGTGCACCAAAATTGATGAAATTTTAGGTTTGGGTTCTATTTTTAATGCAGATTACGAATATGCATTTACCACAATACCATTAAAGAACCCAATTGAATAGAAGTTGAAAATGAGCGAAGGGCCATTAATGCGACAGTTTTTAAAGATAGACGCACATCTTTTGCCTAACCCGTACGATGTACGCGGAGACTTGAAGTATGTCTCCAAGTCTACAGGCAAAAAATGTGCGTCCCTCTTTTGCTCATAAACTGACTGCGGCTGTGGAATAGTTCTAGCGACGTTTTCATCACTACCTAAAGCCCCACGTTGCGAGAGCATTTAGTTGGGTAAAGAAGAATTGCATTATAACACACCATCGACTGGAAATGCTCTCGCAACGTGGGGCTTTAGGTAGTGATGAAAACGTCGCTAGAACTATTCCACAGCCGCAGTCAGTTTATGAGCAAAAGAGGGACGCACATTTTTTGCCTGTAGACTTGGAGACATACTTCAAGTCTCCGCGTACATCGTACGGGTTAGGCAAAAGATGTGCGTCTATCCTTAAAAACTGTCGCATAATGGCCCTTCGCTCATTTTCAACTTCTATTCAATTTTCATACTGCCGTACTCTAACGGAACTATCCACCTATCCTCTTCTAAAGATCATTCTCTAGCTAATAAATTATCACACTAAAGCTTCATGTTAGCATTTCCAACCAACTTTGAAAATCGTTAACTTCGCGTATGAAGTAACATAAAAACACTTTGAATGTTTGCATAATTGTTTATTATGGACAATGATTCTCATTTTTGCTAAAATTCAGCCATTTTGGATCTTTTACATTCAAAATGAAGTTTTTGATAAATTGACAAAAATCGAAGAACATAAACAATAGACTGATGCAAAATTTGAAATTTTCGCTCCACAGTGCTCAAACGGTTTCAAATCAGGTCCTGATTAGCCTCCCAAAATTTAAACTTATTTGGTAAGAAACTGACTTGGCACAAACTATTCGATGTTTGTATGGAAATTTCTATGGGAAAACCAAACTTTTTGTTCATTGTCTTCTACCCATTTTCCATATTGCTTTTTTAAAAATTTCTATAGCTATTCCTACGGGAAATTTTCCAAGCTACAACTTTGTGCAATATTGTTTTTCAGCCAAATCTCAAATTAAATTGTTATTAATTGTTTAAGAGATTGATAATCTTATGGCATGATCAAGCAGATGTTCTGTGGGCAACACTGTATTCTGCAATGTCATATAGTAGCCATGATATTTGTGCTCTATGCTTCTCTCCGAAAACACCAATGTTGCCTGCTGAACAGTTGAATGAGCATAATCATAAGACATCAGTGACTTGAATCATTAATAACTGTAGTTTCTTACATTTGATTGAAAAGTGGTTTTTAACAAAGTTGTAGCTGAGGAAATTTGCTACAATCACTGTTATCATTTTTAAAAGAATAGTGATGTGGTGAATTGTTAGATAGATACGAACAAAAACATATGATTTCTCATAGTAATTCCCATATAAACTTGAAATGGTTTGTGCCAAGTCAGTTTCGTACTAAAGTAGTTCAAATTTTAGGAGGCTAAGCAGGACCCAATTTGGAACCGTTTAAGCACTGTGGAGCGAGAATTTCAAATTTTGCATCAGTCTAATAAACAGTTAGCCATTTTTTTTTACTTTTTATTAAATTATTTTTTCATGTAAGTTATGTTCAGGAAACAATGCTTGAGAGATTTTAAATCCTTTCCTATGAAAAAAAATACTGCACTTATTTGATGTTATATGCAACTTTTCAAAATGCTACGAAACTTCCAAAACTTCTACAAAGTTTGCACTATGAAATTTCTTGAACTTGTACGTAATTCCTTGCTATCCTGAAATTATATGAACAATAAAGGGGTTCCCTGAAATTACTTCTACGAAGATCCCAAAACTTAAATAGAGTTCCCACTTCTACGCAGTTTTCTGAAGCTTTCCAAAGCTTTTTGAGTTTTTATGTCTTTTTCTTAAGCTCTATGAAGTTCCCAGAACTTCTACTAAGTTTCGTTAGTTTCTACGATGTTCCCTGGACTTCTTTTTTTTTTCGTGTTGGGTATTTTGATCACTGCGACCATTACTTTGATCTATTGTGATATATTCCCGGTTTTTATATTGCTTTATCAGTATGTCGTATCACTATTTTGTGAAGCGACCGACACAAACTGACCAAAAGCATTTTCCCAGCCAGGCATTGGCGTAGCTAGAAAATTTATCTGGAGGGTGCCGAAGGGGGGGCTGCTGCACTTTTTAAATTTTGCAAAACGGTTTATTAAAAACTCACTCAAATCGCGTCCCAGACAACTTATATTTGGTACATTTTTTTTCTGTGACCAATAATATGGCTTACTATTATTTTAATGGTGAAACAATAAATTTGATTATATTTATTCCATAACAACGATTGGGACCTCGATTGGGAGAGCCTTAAACGCTTACTGATTTTGAACAAGCAATGATCGTTTGTTCATGTTTTTTGTAATAAAATCACAGTCCGGTTTTTGTAAATGTAAGCATCTCAAACTTAAGAAAATTCTCAGGGATAGATAATTTCTTGAATTTTGTACCTAGATTTTTTTTTTGATTTTGAATATATCACTATCAGTCAAATCTCAGTTATAGGAACCAAAATTAAACTCTAGGAGTTTGAATTTTATAATTTTATAAAATTCTGGCGGTTTCAAGGTAAAGTGCACACAGAATAAATTTAATACGTTTAGGACGTAGGAAAATGTTCATGATGTACAATTTTTGGACGTAGGACTACGTCAGTGATTTCTTTATGGGGGTACACTTTGTGAAAACTGAAAATGGAACATGTAACGAAATTATGAAAGATTTTGAACGTTAATAACTCAGCTGCTCCTAGACCAATTTCAATAATTTTATCACCAATCGATCAGAAATATTTCTTCGCATCGATAGCAATGCTGCTGATTTTCAACAAGAAATTATTTAAAAAATGGGAAAGGTCAAGCATTGTTAAAAAGCGTCGAAATAACTAACAAATCCACTAATTACGTACATGCATATGCTGCAAATGCACGATTCTTAACATTGTTAATGTTAAAATAGAAATAGTTTTGTGATCCCAAACCCATATGTTTTCAAGATTTTTAACTAATAAAAAAGGATATCTCTGATACAGATTGTAAGCATAAATTCTTCGAATACAAATGTTAAAAAAGTTACCGAATTTAGATCAATTATAAGACTAAGATAAAATTGCAATATCCTTCATGGACAGTCATTTCATCAAAATTCTAGTACATTAATATAAAAAACAAATAAGAATTTTAAAACAAATAGTATGTTTGACCTAAGGGGCTGTTCATAAACTACGTGTACAGTTTAGGGGGGGAGAAGTTGACAATTATCCACAAACCATACAAATTTTAAAAAATTTGTATGGACAATTGTCTACGCAGGGGGAGGGGGAGGGGTTCAAGAATCCCAAAAAAACTGTCTACGTAGTTTATTAACAGCCCCTAATCAAGAGTTAAAAAAAAATCCATAAATAAATAAGCCTGCTAAAAAAATATGGACGAAATTTTGTTCAAAATAAATTTAATGGACTTAAATTTTTTTCGATATTATAGGCTTAGACAAGTTTTGAATCTCCTGGTCTTCAAAATTCGTAATTCAAGATCTTAGGAAACTTACCTAGAATCTGAGACTCACAGCATTTCTCGAGAGAAAAATTGTTCGAGATAAGAAATTAAGAAAAAATTTCGAAAAATCTTGACATGTGGCAAAAATTGTGACAGGTTTTTAAGATACGGGATTTTGAATGTCATGATTCTGATATTTGAAGCGAAAAAAAAAGTAATAAAGCATTTATCCAGAACAATTTTTTTAAATTTTAGAACTAACTAACAAAATCAAGATTTAACTATATTTCTAATCGAAAGGAATACACTCGAAACTTGCATGATTGTGTTCCTGCTAATAACTAGATAGTAATTTAACTTTGTTTTTTTACAAAAGTTGGGATTTTTTTAATATTTTAAATTTAGTTAGGGGAAATGACGGCTTCGACATGACAGACTATTTTCGGCAACCCAAATTGAAACGGTAATTTCACTGGATTTTCTTACGAAAACACTTCGCTGAATGCATTAAAACTATTCATTAGGCTTTCAGCTTCAATTTGATTATATGTTTACCACTGAGAAAAAGCAATCTAGCAGGGGTTTCTTGAAATTAAATACACGCACTACAAAATACTGCTGATTAAGAGTTGCCGATGAAAACACAGTTGTTTAACACGCAGCTCAAATAGAAAGATTGCCGAATAAAAAGAGGTTGCCCACAATAGTCGCTCTCACTAGAGAAGATTGGAGCATTGTAAAAGCGTTTCAAAACAGTTTTTGATAATTCTTTCGACTAAAATTGTTAGAGCAGCTGGCAGCAAAAGATTGTAAATAAACCAATACTGCATATGTGTGCGTTCCTTAGAGAAAAAGGCTATAGAAAGATGGTCACTGCTTAGGTTGCCGAGAATAC